CGCTGAAAGCATTTCAATGTAACAAAGCACCTAGGAGCTGCTTACAACAAATCATTCCCTTGAACTTGCTTTTCCTTTAGGATGCTTTGGGCCTACTTCTCGTTTACTGTGAAATGTGGAACATAAAGGTTTTGTTCGCCTCTTTACAACCCAACAAAACCTTCGACGCAAAAAGACCCCAAACACCATTGTGTTCTCTAGGATTTGAAAATGTTCCTACTTTTCCAAAATTTCTTTTATAGTACTTCAAGCTCGCTTTGTTGGTTGATTGGTCAAGTATGTTTTAAACTAGAAAAGGTGAGTGTTCATTTGTTACGATGAATGTCAAAAAAGAAAGAGCAATATCTTTCCCTAAAAAGGAAAGAGTAATATCCATTGTTATTAGTTATTATGTTTACAGGTTTCTACATGCGAATGTTTATTTAAAGCTATTCCTAATCATTAGATTATTGTGTACTCCTATTTTTATGCACCTCTTTTTATAGACAATGGATATTACGCTTTCCTTTTCACAGACCAACTTGCGCGGATTGATGATATTATGGATTGCGTTCCGAGGAAGATTGGGGATCAGGATAATCGTATGTTAATGACACCGGTGAATGATGCGGAGATTGAACATGCTTTATCCAAAGGTATCCTACAAAATCACCAAGTCCGGATGGCTTCACTACTGTTTTTCTGTTTTTTTTTTTTGCAAAATCTTTGGGAGATAGTTGGAGGGGATGTCATAGGTATGGTAAAGTGCTTTTTTTCATTCTCAACGCATGCTAAGGAATTGAATCGTACGACTATTGTACTCATTCCTAAAGTTGATTGTCCTAGAATGATGTCTCAATTTAAACCAATTTCCATATGTAATGTAGCTTACAAGATTATCTCGAAGGTGATTACGAATAAATTAAAGAGAGTTCTTCCGAAGGTGATTAGCAAAAATCAGTCTGCGTTTGTCACAGGTAGACGAGTTTCGAATAATATTTTGGTTGTGCATGAGCTATTACATACGATGAAACATGGAGATGAAGAAGGAACTCGTAATATGGCATGAAATTGGATATGGCGAAGGCCTATGACCGAGCGGAATGGTTTTTTCTTAAGGCAAATGATGTGTAAGTTGGGATTTGATGAAGTCTTTTGTAATTGGGTGATGGACTGTGTGATGACGGTTACGTATAGTGTGATGTTAAATGGTGAGGCTACTGGTTTTATAACGCCAAGTCGAGGACTTGCGCAAGGGGACCCTCTCTCCCCAGTCCTTTTCCTCATTTGTTCCGAAGGTTTTTCATCACTTATACGAACGGAGGAGCGGGATGGTAGGCTGCGGGGACTCCAAGTGTCAGCCAATGCCCAACCTTTGTCCCATGTTTTCTTTGCAGACGACTCCGTTTTCTTTTGTCAAGCAACAGAATCTGAGACAGTGTGTGTAAACAATTTACTCCCGCGTTATGCTGAGGGATCTGGGCAATCCATAAATTTGGACAAGAGTTCTGTCCATTTCAGTTCTAATTGCTCTGACAACTTTAAGTCACAACTGGCGGCGGTGATGCGCATCGGACATGAGGAGGGGTTTGGTAAGTATTTGGGAATCGAAGCTGATTTCGATGCTTAAAAATAAAAACTTTTTTGAAGATATAAGGAATATAGTGGATGAGAGAATTAATGGATGGGTGGAGCAGTTTCTTTAGCCGGAAAAATGCTTATTAAAAGTGTAGCCGCGGCTTTACCAAATTATACAATGTCATGTTTCCAACTTCCGATAAAGTTGGCGAAGGAAATTGAGCAGGTGATTGAAGGGTTCTGGTGGAGGGACCAAAAAACAAACGAAGGAGTGCATTGGATGGTGTGGAACAAGGTGTCGAATGGAAAATCAGGAGGGCTCGGGTTTAAGGAAATTATTTCATTCAACCTCGCTATGCTTGCTAAACTCATGGTGGCCTACTCCTCGAACTTTCTTACCTCTCTCACGCCATGAGGAGATGCCAGAGAAGGTTGTGGATTTCATGGAGGAGGGTGGTGGTATATGAAAAAATGATTTTATTGATCGATGCTTTAATATTGAAGAAGCCCGCACAATTAAAAGTATACCGTTGAGTAAGTTTGGGTGTATTGATCAATTATGTTGGCATTACACAAAGAGTGGGGTGTACACGGTTAAGTCCAGTTACTTGATTGCTCAAGACTTATATCGTAATGGAGAGCTTGGTCGCAAGGTGGTGGGTGAATCAAGTGTTGAGGCATTTTATTTGGTGTTGCTGTAAAAATATTCTTGTGAGAACCAATCTCCAGCCATGTATTTCTTTAAATGCTCGTTTGCACGAGTTTTTTGGTTTGGGACACTGAGGGCTGGTTTGGTATTGTTGTGCTTTGAAAAAAAGCTACTTCTGCTGTGCTGTGAGAATAAGCAGCTGTGAAATAAAGCAGCAGAGTGTTTGGTAAACTTTTTTGTAAAAGTGCTTTTGAAAAAAAAAAGCAGTATTAGAGTGTTTGGTAAACTTTTATGTAAAACAGATATGAAAAAAAGCTAGTTTTTCAAAGCTAGGTTTTGCAGCTTCTTGTTTTTGGCTTTTTTTTATCCAAAACTGTGAAAAAAAGCTGAAGCTGAGTGTTTACCAAACACAAAAACAGCTCCCAGCTTTTTTTGATAGCAGCTTTTTTCAGAATCACCTCAGTACCAAACCAGGTCTGATTCTACTTGATTCGAATTTGGTTGAAGGGGATGATTTTTTTCAAGTGTTGGCAGTCGCTTTGCCAATGATATGAAAGTGCAGAGGAGGTGGGAAAGATTATGAGATGGGTGGCTTGTGGAAATGCTTAATGGATCACGCCTCCTAATGCTGTTATTGGAGGTATTCTCTTTGATATATAATGTATCCAACAAGTGAGGTAAGTAGAGAGTTGAAAATACTGGTGGGTTAATGAATGCCCACAATGATATTGAAAATATTGATAGATTTTTCAATGCCCACATAAAGTGATATTGACTTTGGAAATAAAGAAGGATCGTATTGTTAAAAGGTGTGTGCTCTAAATTTCAATGTATAGTTAATACGTTTGTTTGAAGTTGCTATATAAATAAAGCGCTCCGTATGATTTCAAGAAACACTAAGAAGAAGACAAAATTAATAACATCGGTATCTATCCCTCCTTCTTTTATTTGTCATCCCCTTGTGTTATAGTTACAGTGTGATATTTTACACTTGTTTCGCTCTTGTCACTAGTAAAGGTTATCTCTCTAACTTTTGTCTATTTATAACAGAGTTTATTTTTGCTTCTAGAGTATGTAATAAGGGCAGCACATCTAGTGACTTCTTTTGTTTCTCAAATGGGTGGTCTCCATATTTGGGATTGTTTTGAATCATATTGGTTGTTTAATACTCTGACTTCCGATGTAAACGTTGTTATTCGGATATAATATCATTTCACTTTCGACAAAAAAATAAAAAATAATGTATGAAGTAATATTTTAACAATGTCAAATTAAATAATAAAAATGAAAATCCTTAACTAAAATTAGTTGAATGAGAGCCAAAGTTCAAATCCTTAACCATATCCTAGTTTTGTCTCTGCCACAACTGTATTCCTCGAGGAAGCCATAATATCATTAACATGTAGACCTAAACTTAGATGAAGAATCATAATTGAACCCCTTTGTAATCATAACTGAACCCGTTTGTATATATATCTTCTTTTAATTAAATTAATTTGACGCATTTACCATCAAATTTCCGAGTTATTTAATTGCATGTTCTAAATAGGGATGACAATTTTAATCGTTAAACCCGATAATCATGGATAATTGCCCGAATGAATTGGATTTGGATATGAAAATTCGGGTATAGTATGGATATGGGGAAAAATTGTGAACTTTATTCGGTTATGATTTTGGATATGGTTATAGGGGTCCCGAATCCAACTCGAATATATATATATATATATATATATATATATATATTTGATATATAATATAATTTTATTCAATTTACCAAATCCTCCCTATACTAATTCATTATGCATGCATCAAACCCTATACTATCTTTATTATGCACCAAACATCTGCATGAGGCATACCAACAACCTCATCAATTCAATACTCTTATTGCTATATTCAACCAAATTAATTCATTGAATCATTTTATATATCAATTATCAAATATTACAAGTTTATCAAATTCATTTATCTTCAAGAGTCTCACTATCAAGAAATTGGTGCATGTTATCATGAACAACTTCAAATATATTGTTAGTTTTTTGTAATTGGATGTTGCTATTTAATGACGGAATTAGTATCTACTAAAATTTATAATGCATCAATTAGATAAATATAATTTTTCTTTTTGTTTTTTGACGAAGATGGATATAACTGATAACCGATTGAAAATCCGTTACCCGGTGGATATGGTTATGGATAATCCTCGATGGTTAATTTGCGGTTATGTATATGGTTAATTTTCGTGGTTATGAAGATGAATATAGCATTTCCGTTGCCATCCCTATCGCTAAACCCACCCCATTGTCTTATTTCTTCATCCACATTATAATCTTACTCACCATAAAAAGTTTAAAAAGTAAAATGTTATTTTCCCACCCCTTATTATTCCTAAAATAACCATTAGTATATATCTAAATTCTTTTTTGATATGTTTTTCTAAGTGAAGGAAAAAAGTTGAGTGGATGTGGGGTGAATTTAGTAGCACCTTTATTTTTGCTTTGATCTTAAATGTCATTTTACGAGAGGGTAAAATAGGTATTAAAATTTTAAATAAAAGTGGATCGTTAGATAAAACACTGTGGTGGGTTTTTATCAACACACTTTTAATCTCGCACATGAAGATCACTAAGAAAGAAGAAAAAAATTGCAAATTCAATTGGGCTGGTTCGGTCCAACAAGCCAATTGGGTCTAACGAAGAGCCCATATTCCAAAGCCTTTCTTTTTACTCTCAATCGTTAAACCCTCCTCCCCAATGTCTATTCTTCTCTATCCACATTCCCACTACCCGCCATCCGCCATCCGCCATCCGCCATCCGCCATGTCTCTCCTCCGCAGAACCTTCCCTCTCCTCCCACTCCGCCCCAAACACCTCCCTCTGCTATCCCACTCCTTCCTTTTCCTCCAACCATCCTTCCCTAAACCCCTTCCCAAACACACCTCCATCTTCTCTTCCTCCGCTTCCGCTTCTGCTTCCGCTTCCACTTCCACTTCCACACCCATTCCCAATCCCACCCCCAATCCCCCAATTTCTCCAACCCAACTCCAATGGGTCACCAGAACCGCCTCCTGCGGCGACCTATCCACCGCCGACGTCGGCAAACGCGTCACTCTCTGCGGGTGGGTCGCCCTCCACCGTGTCCACGGCGGCCTCACCTTTCTCAACCTCCGTGACCACACCGGTTCCGTCCAAGTCACCACTCTCCCCGACACTTTCCCCGACGCTCATTCCGCCGTTAACGACCTGAGGCTTGAGTACGTCGTAGCCATTGAAGGACTCGTGCGGTCTAGACCGGCCGACTCCGTCAACAAGAAGATGAAAACCGGGTTAATTGAGATTGCGGCGGAGAGCGTTCAAGTGTTGAATGCCGTTAGAACAAAGCTGCCATTTTTGGTCACTACTGCTGATGATGCTAAGGATTCTGCAAAGGAGGAGATACGGTTAAGGTAAAAAATCTCACTCGCACTTTCTATTGTTTGTCTATGATTGAAAGGACTTGAATTAAATCTACTCAGATACGTGGTGTTAGGTACCGGTGCCTTGATTTACGCCGGCAGCAAATGCATTCGAACATAATGTTGCGGCATAAAGTTGTGAAATTGATTCGAAGACATCTAGAGGATGCACATGGTTTTGTGGAGGTACACTCCGATACTCGTTGTTTAGTTGTTTTTGAATTTTCAGAAAGAAAGATAGAAATGGTTTAAGTTTTATTTGGATTCTGATTTCTGCTCATGGTTACAAGGTAGATTGAGACTCCAATACTCTCTAGGTCTACACCCGAAGGTGCTCGAGATTATTTAGTGCCCTCGAGAGTTCAGGTACTTTGCAGTTATTCACCTTACTTTCATTTAAAGTTTTGATGTCTGGAGTACAATACACTTCTAAAGAAAGCTGTTGCGTTTCCCACCCCTCTTCTCCCCAACAGATACAAACACATACACACATGCTACACGGGATATATACACTCGTTGATTCCATTTATCTTGGCTTGGAGGTCTTATTTCTCTATGTTTAATTTGAAGCCGGGAACATTTTATGCTTTGCCTCAAAGTCCGCAACTGTTCAAGCAAATGTTGATGGTTTCTGGTTTTGATAAGTATTATCAAATAGCAAGGTAAATTTTGTGCATGATATTTATGCAGACTTTTAACCATAATCGGGATAGTCCAACCTTCTGTTTGTTTCCTGCAGGTGCTTTCGAGATGAAGATCTAAGAGCTGATAGACAACCTGAGTTCACGCAGCTTGATATGGAGCTTGCTTTCACTCCTTTGGAGGAGATGCTGAAGCTTAATGAAGATTTGATTAGAAAGGTCAGTTTTTGCTTCCTATTGATTAAAGAGAGAGGTAAAGGGTGAGAGAGCTTTACAGATTTGAAATATGGCTCTCCCTGTCCAATTTGGAACCCTGGAAATTTTAAACTACTTTCAAGTGCCCTACAAATGATTTTGTTTAACACCTCCATGACTCGAGTGACAAAAAAATTAAACCTTTGCAGGACCTAGATAACTGAAATGGTAAAGGTGAAGGGGAATCATCGTAATTTAGGCAGGACAAATTGTATAGGAACTAAGGGCAGCCAGTAGTAGCATGGAAGTTGAAGACTGAATCCACTTTCTCCACATGTATTTTACCCCCATTTAGGATATAAATAAAAAGCCTCAAGTTTAATGTTCACAAGCCTTTTCAATGTCTAATTTTCATATTAAACCATTTTTTCCCTTGTAGAGTCATTTAGTTAAATGTTTATCAAGGCCTGACAATTTAATTAGTTATTATAATTTTCTCATTGCTGTTTGTGAGTATCATAATTATGTAGCATTTGCGTTTTCTAATATTCCTCGGCCTCATTCTATGATTCAAACTTACAATTGAAACTGGCCAAGTTCATTGTAACCATAAGTATGTGCTTGAGTTGTTTCACCAAGTAACCCTTGAAAGCTTACTGACTTTGGTGGATTTTTGACATTTTTCACACAATTAAGGGCTTCAATGCATCATTTTTTTTTCATGTAAGATTATCTTACATATTTTGTTTGTGCAGATTTATGTTATGTTTTACATCTCTTGTAACATCCATCACTTTACTGGATGATTAGAAATCTATCTGTACTTTTTGCAGGTTTTTCTAGAGATCAAAGGTGTAAATCTCCCAAACCCTTTTCCTAGGCTTACGTATGCTGAAGCAATGAGTCGATATGGTTCGGACAGGCCAGATATTAGATTTGATCTAGAGTTAAAAGATGTAATCATCTTTCCCTTGTCTTACATTTTTATCATTTATTGCATTCTATTTTGCAGATAGCAGATTACTTTTAGGCATCCCTGGATGCAGTTGACAGCTTCTTTAAGTTTAAATTGGATATGGTTCAATATATGATGTTTACATCTTTATAATTTTTTTTTGTGTCGACTTTGAAAAAATTATCTGGTATAGCTTACTTCTAATGACTTCCTTCTCCCAAGCACCCTGATAGAATATATGATAGACGTTTAATCTTCCAATAAAACATGAATGACTTCTTTTCTTGTTCATATTTCTAAATAATCTGTAGTCTTCCAATCCTGTACTTGCCACATTATAAAACACTAAAAGGACCCCTTGAATGTCAAGGCACACTTCCATATCACAGCTTCCGTAATTGCCTGCCATCATTTCATTGTACATTACATGTTATACCTAATCAACAATTTTCTTTTTTGTAAATCTTTTTTACAGTATCTTTACATAAAATTTGATTTGGCTTCTTGTTAAAATGAGGTTTTTTTTTAATTTTTTTTTTAATTTTTAATTTTTAATTTTAATTTAATTTAATTTATATTTTAATTTCAGGTATCTGATATTTTCTCAGATTCCCCGTTCCGGGTTTTTGCTGATACTTTGAAAAGTAGGGGAGTTATCAAAGTTTTATGCATACCTTCAGGTGGTAAAAGATATTCAAACACGGCCCTAAAGAAGGGTGATGTTTACAATGAAGCAATCAAATCTGGAGCAAAGGGTTTGCCTTTCCTGAAGGTCTTGAATGATGGTAAAAAGAGTAATTTTATTCTTTACCTATGATGGTTAACATATATTTCTATTTTAATATCTCACTATTGGCAGTTTCTAAATTTTTCTCTTAGGGGGAATGGAGGGAATTCCTGCATTGGTATCTAGTTTGGACCCAACAAAGACCCAGCAGTTTCTGAGTCGTTGCTCTGCCAGACCAGGTGATCTTATCTTGTTTGCAGTGGGTCATCATACATCAGTTAATAAAACTCTAGATCGACTACGGCTCTTTATGGCACATGAACTTGGTTTGGTTGATGATGTAAGTTTTACCATTTACATTATAAGGTCAATATGATCTTAGTTCTTCTCATTTTCTGACTCTTCTTCTTGTGGATTTTATGATTGATATCTAGTCGAGGCATTCAATTCTATGGGTGACTGATTTCCCAATGTTTGATTGGAATGATTCTGAGCAAAGGCTTGAGGTCTGTTTCTTGTTTCTTTTTGTCTCTTGCAGTTTATATTGATCTAAGTGTTATATGTTTCACTTCATGAAAAATATGTCAACAAAGGGAACTTATTTTATGCGTGAGACATTAAGTCCTGTATGTTAAGATACCCTTAGCATCTAAGTAGATGAAAGAAATTGATTGAAGACGAAAACAATTAATCGGAATTATGTGTTCAGTATTGTAATTGAATTTGAAGACAGGATTAGTGGGCAAGTGTTGGTGAACCTCTTAGTAAGTCGTAATTCTTTATTGCATCTCTTCTTTTCAGGCCTTGCACCACCCTTTCACTGCCCCGAATCCTGAAGACATACAAGATCTGTCTTCTGCTCGTGCTTTAGCTTATGACATGGTTTACAATGGAGTTGAGGTAAACACTCTTTTGTTATTTTTCTCCTCCAGCAACTTTATGTTTAATGCATTTGATAATGCTCTCTCCTTAAAAATAAATTGGTGCACTGTTTCCTATGGTGGCACCAGATTGGTGGGGGAAGTTTGAGAATTTATAAACGCGATGTGCAGCAAAAGGTTTTGGAGATTGTTGGCATCTCCCCTGAAGAGGTACACCTAATTTAGATAGTATTTAGGCTTGTGGACATATAACTAGCCAGTAATATTATACCTTGTTCTCTCAATTATGTGGCTGCATTGTATTTTACCTGCAGGCTGAAACGAAGTTTGGCTATCTTCTCGAGGCATTAGACATGGGTGCCCCTCCACATGGTATTGAATTCTATACATAGGGCATGGCTGTATAACAGCCTAATTACTTTGCTTAAATCGGTGTAATATCTATACATCATTGACTAAATCTTCCAAATGGTTACTAATTGAGTATATGTTCAATTTTCTGGTACAGGGGGAATTGCATATGGTTTGGACAGATTGGTTATGTTGTTAGCAGGGGCTAATTCCATTAGGGACGTCATAGCTTTCCCAAAGACAACTACAGCACAGTGTGCCCTCACTCGAACACCATCTCCGGTGGATCCCCAGCAGCTAAAAGACCTATCATACCAGACTCAATAGTACGATCTTCGATCAACTTATCCATTTCAGAGAGATATAGCGACCCATATTTTGTTCCATAATGTCTATTATTTTTATCTTTTTCATAAACCCTACGATACCATCGTCTCATTTCTGACCCATAGTTGAACAAAGAAAGTAGATTGATGTGGTTCGTCTTCACAGCTTCCTCATTGTACTGGATGCTCTATATTTCTCTATTTTCTTCGAAATGAAATTAGGTGGAGATCTTGTTCGTTGAATTTTTGGGTTCGGTTTTATATGGTTCGTTTTTTGTCAAAGTAGAAAATCAAACCAAATTTACTATTCGGTTTCAATTTTTTTTCCTTTTTTCTTTTTAATCTAGAAATTGAAGAGGAAATTGGAGAGGAAATGAAGAAAAAAATTTAGAGTACAAGGCTTCCAACATATTTGGGCCTAAGGTTAAGCCTAACTTTGGATTGAAATTAGTCCAATAATTGATTTGGAATTGTGCTTGGAAAATGAACATACAACATAACCGAGGCGTTTGTATCAAAACGTCCGTTAGGGCTACCAAAACAAATTGAAAATAGAGTTGCAATTCAAGTTAGAAATACGGATTTGTGTTAGGGCTAGGATTAAGGTTAGGATTGATATAGGTTTAAACCCCACCTTATACGTACCGATATGATTGGGTTGAAACTGCAGAGGCACATATATCGCAACCTACCAGCAAAGGAATCAAACTCAAACAAAAGGCCTGGAAAGCAATACGAAAAGATCCCAGAAATTACTTCCCACTAAATCTGCTGTCCGCTTTAGCTTTCTTACCATCAAATGGCAAAGTAGTACTGTTCTGTCTTGAATTCGTTCCCCGTTATGGATTTTGAGGAGAATGAGCCACGGGATGGCGACGACTACCATAAAAACTTCTTCAACATAGAAAATTCTTGGAAGTTGTATATTGCAATGTTGAACTGTTGACCTTAAAAACTATTAAACCTACGTGGTGGGCATGCCAAGTAACTAAGAGCTAACTATGTTCTTCTTGTGGTTGATGCAGGCGTGCCAACTCACCGCCGAGGTGAATTGGGTGAGTGAGATGAATGTGGTGGTGATGTTGAATTGAGCTGCTAACTTCTGGATTGAGCAATTACCGTTGAGGAAGAAACACTCTCGGTCTAGGGTTCTGCTAACCTGAAGTCAAGGTTGCTACCTCGCTACGAAGTTCAAAAAATGATTTAGCTTTCGTTTTGTCGAACAAGGGGTAACTTGAGAATACTTCACTTCACCGAAGGTGATGAGATGACCTCTTGAGAAGAAAGAATAGATAATTCCTCATCTACCGAGACTTGGGTAGATAACCAACAAGGACATGAGAGTGCTGTTTAACAAAACTGAAGGTCTCTTAAGCAAGGTAGGTTCTACTGCTCCAATGTTGTTTAACCAAATTGAAGGTGTAGCCAGTTGTGGCACAATGATGTTTAACCAAACTGAATATTTGCCAATGGGAAGGGGTTAGTGATCAGTTAGTGGTTTTCTCAGGGTGTGAGAGAATTTTGCGTAGAGCGTTAATTTGTGTGTTGAGTTGAAGATCCTCTTCTTGTCACACTGTGCCTTGCATTTATAAGGACTAAATCCTTAAAGTCTTATGTCTGTTTGAACTGACGCACCTTTATTGGAGGACTTATCTGCCAATTTTATCATGATAAAGCTGACACACGTGCTCATCACCTTGAGATACCATTCTTCCATCAAATACCTTTTTTCTTTACAAATTATAAATACCTTTTCATATTGTCGAACTTATGAAATTACCATTTTGCACTTGAGTTGACTTTCGTTGACCATCTTGTCAAAAAAATTATTTCTAATTTTATTAATTTATTCTTATTATACTCATCGCCATGAAAGCGTAGGCGCGAACGGATTCGAAATTGGTTTTGTAACGAAGATCCTATGTTTGAAACGTCCAATGTTTTCGGATATTTTGTGTTTCGTATTATGCGATCTTAAATTGCAAACCAAGGGGATCCACTTGGGATTCTTGTCCCCTTATCTCTTTTGCTATTTGGATTACCCTCCCTTTTCAGATTTTCTTCTCTCTTTCCCCTTCACTTTCTTTCCTTCCTTTTTAACTCTCCCCAAGCTCTCTCTTCTCTGCAAACTCTCACTCTCCTCTCCAAGCTCCACAACAACAACCACAACCCTCACCAACATGATGTGGTGACCTCGAAACCTCAGGCAAACACTATGGAACCCTAATAGTGATGGGGTCATTGTTCATTATTTCCCCTGACAAGCTCCGACGACTTTTGTGATTTTTCCAACGTTGGTAAGATCCTTGAAACCTTTGGGGTGTGTTTTAAGGTTAGATTGAGGCTTGTTGTAAGTTGTTTAAGCTTGTTGGACGCAAAAATAGCTCGGAGTGAGATTTGCACAAATTTCGGCGAGACCCCGAGCATTCCAGGCGATTTTTCAGTTAACTCCGGCCACGACACGTCTCAAAATTGGTATGAACTTCTTCTCTCATCCTCAGCTTCATTTCCATAGCTTGTATGTTGAAAATGGTGAAGAAATGAGCTCGAATGGAGCTCTAGAAGGTTTGCCTAGTTTCTGGCGGACTTACGGCTTGAAACCAGGTCGACCCGACCCACTACCCTTAAACCGGATCTAGACCCATCTATGTAACCTGACCTAACCTAGAACCTTTGGTCCATTAATCTAAGCCCAAACGCAAACCTAGATCTGACTCAACCTAATCGGTTCCCGGATTCCACTCAGCGCGTGGGCCTGCGTAGGGATGAGCACGGGCAGGACCGGGCCCAAAATTGTTGGAATCAGACTCGACCCGCTTGAAAATAACACAGGGTAGGTCAGATTGGGTAATAAGAAATTTTGGAACCGGACCTAACTTGATTCGTATGAAACGGGTCGGTTCCTATGCGTTCGCATGGGTCATTTTGCAGAGAACTCATCCTTCTGTGCAACAAACTCTTCTTTTACTGTGCCTGACTTCTGCAGAGACTTGAGTTGTTTTTTCAAGTCTCCAACCATCTTCTCCTTGTTCCGAAACCACAAACCGTTCTACCATTGAAAAAATATAAAAAAAATGAGAATTTGATCCTACAAGTTTAAGGCATTGGTGATGAATTAAATTCAACATTACCCATTATTCCTTATTGTAGATAGTGTTGTCCAAGAGTAAGACGCAACACCACACCACCATAGAACCGCGCGGACAGTTTTGCTACTAACATTTGCATTTCAAACACCATATGCCAGACTTTCTTGATAAAGCAGGAGCACGTGCCCCAAAATAATCCCAACTGGAACTTTATTCCCTTCCCCCACCACCACACCCCCCCCCCCCCCGGCGCGGGGGCGCCGCGAATGTCATCTATCCCAAACTCCAATCTCACCAACATTAATAATCCTCTTGTCTCATCCTCATCAGCCAGCTCATTTCAATATTTCTACAAGATAATTACTACAATAACTCAATAGTAGTATCTAGAAAGCATATTAAAATTCTATTAACCAATTAGTTCATCCAACGATCTCAATTGCACGACTGATAATGTAATATTGGGCCCAAATACGAACATAATAATTATTCCCCGGCAATGTTGAGAGTTGTGTGCAGCGACAACCATGGACAGAGCCACCTTAGGCTTAAAGAGGGCAAATGCCCCCACTCAGGTTTTCTGGTACACAAAACAATGTACTTGCTTGTCGCATTAGCAAGGTGGCATGGATAATTAATTTACTTGCTCGTGACATTAGCATTAACTCTTCCAGTTGCAACTGCGAACGTTGACACAGCATTTTCAGCCATGAAATTTTTGAAAAATCGATTAAAAAATCGGATGGAGATCAATGGATGAATGATCCCATGGTTTTTTTTATATAGAGAAATATTTAATAGTATTGGTAATGATGTTGTCATGCAACGCTTTTAAAACATGAAAATGTGATACGTTGTATGAAATTTTTTATGGATTAATATATAAGAATTTTGTTTATTAAATTCTTTAGTTTTTATTTATTTATTTTTTATTTTTTTGATTTTGTTGTTTAACAATGTTCCCATCCATGCAAATCTTTGGCTTCATCCTTGGCGACAACTTAAACTATCTGAACATCCATACTCCACATTTGAGATGCATTTATTTGTATGAATCCGGCGACTGTGGATGTCACAATCCATGCCCCAAATTCACAATCTTTTCATTTCGATGGTTATTTGAGGTTTAGCATTTCTATGAAAGCACCAAATTTGTCGAAGCTCGAAATCATGCTTGGGTGGGGAGACCCGGCCTTCACCAGGCTATGGAAACATTTTCCTATGTTAAGAGATTTTCTTGAACAAGTTGGTAGCTGGACGACCTCTCCTTACACCTTTTCGAACAAGTTGAGGTACGTATTGTTGGATGTAGTAGATGTTAAATTGCTATATGAATAAAGCGAAATTTAGAATATTAAATATAATCACGCACACAAATAAAGATGGGATTAGACGAACCTCAAATTGAGCCGAGACTCTGACCTTAAGACGATTTACCCCACACTGGTGCTTGTAGTTTGCTATGGAGTCCGTCTTGTAGTACGTATCCCTCCTTTTGAAAGAAGCACTGCATTTCACAAGGCTCCTTTGAGCCAAAGTATGCTGGAGCCCTCTCATATAACAGAAGAATGATAATCCTAAAATCTCTATTTTGCAAGGTTTTAGAAGACGCTAGTTTGGCGGCGAGTAGGGCCACAACGTCTAAGCATCTAATAAGGGCTAAGCAGAGGCCTAGACGGGTTTTTAATTTTAGTTAAATTTATTATATAACATATAAATAAATACCTATTTATGCTTAAAAAATACATAATTGTATTAGGATATATAAATTACAAAATAGAATGACATATGAATTATAAAGTACTACAACATATTAAAAACATGGGAAACAAACATATAACGAATGTTCATTCAAGTATCCAACAAGTCACTTTCAATTTATTAAAAAAATAAAATGTAAAATGGAAGTTATGTGAGTCGTGACCTAGCGGATGCCTAAGCGGGTCTTGGCGAGCTAGGCATACTCCGAGATGGGACTAGGCCCACCTTCTTATTTTTAAACGCTTAAAGATTAATTGTGGCGGTGGCTAGCTGCCGGAGGTAGGTAGAGACTTTTAGAACACTGTTATTTTGTAGTATGCAGTGGGGAAAATTCGAGCAAATGAATGTAGGAAAGTCTGGCTTATTTATAGATGTTGTCGAGCCTCTTTCCAAAGAAAGTGCCTCATTCTGAAAAGTCAACAATGGAGGAGACACTTCCATGTAGCAATACGCGAGAAAAGCATGTACAATACGCGAGAAAATTGCAAGACAGACTCATATAGAGGGGATACGAATATTATTTGATTTTGAATGTGGAACGTCTTCAGTAGCAAATTCAGCCTTGTCGATCAATCGGCCTATCTAGGACTCTTATTGTGTTTTTAATTTTTTTGTTGCAATTTCAAAATAGTTTTATGTTTGATTAGTATTTAGAAATGTTCTACAATAATTGAGGTTTAGGGATTTTATGTTTTCCATTTAAGCAAACTAATAAACTTTGGGAGTTTTTCATCTTGTGTTTTAAGGCCATATCTAATGCAAGACTTGTAGTAGTCTTAAATCACTCTCGAAACCTTTGCAGCTGGTTTGGTTCAGCGGAGTTTAGGACATAATTTGGGGTTGAGAACCCTAAACCCTGTTAAAACCGAGACCTTGAAGTTAGAGTTAAAGGCCTTGAATCCCTCTTGAACATGCTAGAGGCGTCCAAGTAGTCAAAATTCTAGAACTGAAAAAACAGCGTTATTAAAAGTTTTAAAAAGTCCAAAATTTGGGTTCTTCCCTAGGTTTTCAGTTACTTCTTTCTATTTCTTCTCAATCTACTTTCCCTACAATAACTTACTGGCATACACAACTCATTGTGAGACTAAAACCGAACTATAAATAACATGTAAGTCATGACTATAATAATTTATAGTTGACATAATTTAGGACAAATGTGGCACGAACGTAAGAAAAATATATGAAAACCAGTAGGCGGAGGTTTTCAAGGTGAAAGCCATGCGTCCTTCACATTCTCCGCGACAACAGTGGTGCCTGGAAACAAAAGAGCCGGCCTGCACCCACCATTTCTCCTTAGCCATTTCACTCTCCTTATTATGGTATGAAAGGCCACATCTAATAACTTTCTACAAAACTTGAATACGAATGAGATCCACAATGTCTTCATCGTGTGGTCGATGTTAGAACATGCATGAATTGACATTTTCCTATTTTTCTCTTCCTCCTTTGATTTAAGCAATTTAACTCTCGGGTTGACCTCCTAGATCCAGCCACAACTGGTCTAACAACAGTACTGAAATAATCTCGAGTTACTATATCCCTAGACCTAACCCTTCGACTTCGAGCAAGTGTGTTATGTCCAACCAAGTGTATCACTAATATGAAAGGGAATCCTTGAAATACGACTTACCTTTGATCGAAGATGTTAAAGATCAATGTTTTGGGATTAATAAAGTTCAATTCAAGTTTAGGTTGTATATAATAAGCTTCAATTTATGACCATGTCCTCAAATTGCAAGTAATTACCTACTCATTCAGTTCTGAACTTTTGTGCTATCTTAATACTGACCTCATTTTATGAAAAGCAAGAAGCTTCTAACTAAGCGGTTTAGAACATTTTTTACCCCTGAACTCCCGTGTTCAATTCTTCCTTTTTGACATACCCTTTATATGAAAAGCCATTGCCATGGAAAAAGATCTTGAAGCATGGTGCCAATTTAGTACAAATCTATAAATATCCAAACCGATGCACTTTTCTATGTAAATATGTGAACTTTCCTTTTCTAATAATAGCAAGATCCAAATGACGATCTCTTCAAAAACTTTAATCTTCATACATAAATTTGGATACTATAACTGTATGTATCGGTTAAACATAATTTACTCCCTACAGTAATTATGTATGTTTGCATGTATCGGTTATATACAAAAATATACTTGAATATATATTGAGGATACCACTTATTTTGGGAAATGAATTATATAGAACTAGCTTTTACCATCGTTTTCTTGTTTTTCGTCCTTTTTCCGATGCCCATATAATTCATTAACTTCTAAGTCAGAAAACCTGGGAACGTGATATATAGAAGCATACTGACATGCATAATTGATCTAGAAACTGGCTATCGATATATCTGGAGGAACCAGGATTTTATAATAATGGGATCTTGATTTCAACAAAGAATAAAAAATCATTAATTGCACCGTTTCGTCGAACTTCAGGTGGGTACTTATCAAAATCTATCAACATTGGCCGAAAGTTTGTGATGACATCTATCTGTATCTGTTGTGTTCTCTAGCATCTGCATCTTTCAAGTTGTGTCCAGGCTAGCAGATTGTCAAAATTTGCCTTCCAAGACTTTTTGAGTGAAGCATTACGTCGAGCATGAGGTGCGCACCATTGGGTTGGACGAAAGAAAAAGGAGGAAGACACGGGAAAGAACGAAGAAAATTGGAGAAGGAAGAAGCGACAATAGGTTGTAATTTAACGTTGTTTACTCTCTTCTTAATTGGGAGTAAAGATAAATTTACCAACAAATATACATGGGATTAGGAAGTTGTTGGGGCCATGAGTAGCCGTTAAGCCAACTTTTGAGGTCAATAGCTGCTCATCATGACCCGAAGCTTGCTCCGTTATATTATATATACCCCATTTTATATTCCTTAAGTTCAATTGTTTTCCTTTTGCTTTTATTCGTAAGAGGTCATAATATGGTATTTGTGATTACTGAACCTATTAATTACCAGAAAATTAAGTGAACAACAAGAACATATGTGTGTGTGTTGATTAAAAATATGCAGCAGAAATTGGACTGAACAACTAGCGTGCTTAAAAAATAAGCAAAAATAACTCAAGACATCCTCAGCCGCATAATTGGTAGAACAAGATGAAGGTTTATATTATTACTCTCTTAATTTGTTTATATATTTTTTATTTATGTCTACATTCTAGACTACGTACGTACGTATACTTTACATGTTAATAATTTGTTGCTTGCACACCCCTATAGCATGCAATTTACAGTTTCATTTTCCAGTTTTTGTTGGTGCCCTAGCATTATTACTGATACTACATGTTTGGAAATTCCAAGTAATCCAGCCTATAACATTCTCAGCACAATTAAAAGCAAAGGGGATAAGGATTGGTGGGTTCTTAGATTGTCAATATGTATCGCAAAGTTAAAAATAAGTTCATATTTCATCCATGATTCAGATATTTGACAGTTTAGCATAATAAAACACACTCTGGCGAATTCTTATCACCTTTCTCATGTGCATGTACGTATTCAAGAGCGGTTAAAAATCATGAAGTCTAAACCATGTATGCCAAGAGGAAAAGATTCTAAATAATCCCAAACTAGTATATTAGTAACTACATTCAAAGGTGTAAAATATGGACAGCAAAGGATAATTTGGGACATCTCTAACCATAAAAATTTCCATGTAATGCAATTAGATGACTACCTTATTAGACCAAATGCAATTTTAAATGACATAAGGTTACAGATGAGGTCCACTAAATTGGAAATTGACAGTACACATATGACACATATTGTGGTTCACTAAGAAAAATCCAGAAACATGATTTTTTACCGAAAAATTAGAGTGAATTTCTATCTAGAAAGGCCAATATATACCCCCTCCTCCCCTCCCTAAATCACACAAAATACAATACCATTTCTTTCACTCTCTCCACTCCTTTGATCTGGTGATTAGTTTCTAATCATCATCAGAGATTTTTTTGTTTAGGGTTTAGCCATGGCGAGGAAGAGCAAGGGAAGGCAAAAGGTGGAGATGGTCAAGATGGCCAATGAGAGCAATCTCCAAGTGACCTTCTCGAAGCGAAGGTCTGGCCTTTTCAAGAAAGCCAGTGAACTTTGCACTCTCTGTGGTGCTGAGGTGGGCATCATCGTCTTCTCGCCCGGCAGAAAGGTCTTTTCCTTTGGCCACCCGAGCGTAGAGACGGTCATAGACCGATTCCTCTCCCGAAACCCATCTAATCACCACCTTCACCCAACCTCTGGCACTATGCAGCTCATTGAGGCTCACCGTAATGCTACTGTGCGCGAGCTCAATACCGAGCTGACCCAGGTCATGAACCAACTGGAGGTGGAGAAGAAGCGCGGTGATCAGCTGAACCAGATGAAAAGGGTGAGCCAGGCTCAATGCTGGTGGGAGGGTCCGGTGGATGAGATGGAGATGCCACAGTTGGACCAGCTGAAGAGTTCCCTTGAGGATCTGAAGAAGAACGTGTCGAAACAGGCTGATAGGGTTTTGATCCTGAACACGACAAACCCTAGCAGCCAGTATTTTGTGGGAAGCTCAAGTCACCAGCCAGTGATTCCAAATGTTGGGTTCAACGGGAATCATCATGTTATGCCCCACCATCCTCTTCCCCATCTCGATGGATGGAACCACCCAGCTTATGGACGCTTTTTTTGAAGGCGTGATGATTATGTTGCTCGTTAGGCACTGCGATACAGACTATTTCTCTCTGCAGTTTGTGTTATTTATTGTGTGCTGCTTGTTATTGTGTTTATTTTCTGTTGTTTGTTTGGTATATGGGTATGACCCATATGTGTTGTTTTCGTTTGTTTGTTTGGTATATGGGTACAACCCATATGTGTTGTGTTCGTTTGTTTGATTCAAAATTTCACAGATGAAGTATAAGAATTTTTATTAAGAGTGATGTTGTAAAATAAGGCCGTTTTGGTGGTCACAAATAAAATTGTTAGATTGATTTGAATCTTTCTGGTGGACTCAATTTGGTCATGCGATATGCATATTCAGTTTAACATTCTGTCTGTATTCAAATCTGCAGATTTTGCACTAATTTGGTCATAGGCCAAATTGTGGATTTTTATTAAATTTATCAAATAAGACCTGATATGATAGGGTTTGATGGGATATTTCTATATGAAATAAGAAAAGTACAGTATCCATTGATATGAGTTAAACAGGTGAGTAGTCAGAATTGGAATTTTAGCCATAATAGCTCGATCTTACAATTTTAGCTAGTTACACACGGAGATAGATTGTCGCTCAAGTTAGGGTTTCTTACTCCTATATAAAGAAGCCTATGCGCATTAACGAAAGACTATGTATACCAATCATATCAAGCCTGTATTGGTTTTTTTGCGTTCTTACCCATTTTCAAGCCTTCTGTAGTTTTGATTTTCGTGACTTAAAGGATTGCTCTGCTAGACTTCGCTCTAATATATATACATAGATTTCTTTTCATCAGTTTTTTCTTTGTAATCGCTTTTCTTATACTCATTTGATTAGTTTTAAAGCAATCCAATTGTTTTTTGCATGTTTGAATTAAGCTCTCCCCAAATAGCTTTTACATTCAAGACCTAGAAAGAAGCAAAATAGAGCTTTCAGTAGATGTACCACGAGTACCTACATCTATTCCAGTTAAAAATGCAATCGTTTGATTGAAAGTAAAAAAAATGCAAAGTACTCATATATAATTTTGTCTACTAAGAGTACCTAGTACCTGTTCCAGTTGCCAGGAAATTTGGGGTAAGCACACTCTCTCAGAGTGTGCAACTAATTATATCGGGTTCAATATTCTTTGGAGGAATAATGCTTTACAAGTCAACCAATATATATAAGTTCCAAAATCTTGGATACCGAATGATTGACAAATATTTCAATTATTTGTGTACATTCTCCACATTCTTCACATCATTAATTTTGCACAAATGAAATATTGTTATATCATCCATTAGATTATCTATGATGTATTATGTAAGAAAATAATCTGACATGTTATGATATCAAATGATGGATGTAAAGAGTTAACAAGTAGAGACTAGTTCCAATGTGTGACACAAATTAGTCTTGAAAATATGCCATATATATTGTACAAAGGGAACATTACGTATTCTCTTGGAGTAGAATTGGGATGAGGTCGGGCTAGATTGCCGGATTATGATATAGTACATCCCAAGTAATTTGTTGCTAGAAAGTTTGAAGTTGAACTGAATTTGGCCCATGGATAGGAAGAACTTTTTCAATGCATGATCTGAATTTACAGTCTTACAATATAATATTTCGCATGAACATATTACCTATTTTGCATGAGAATTACTCGTTATATATGAATGTTGGCATAACACGATTGGGTTAAGTTGCATGACTGTAATATTATAAGCAATTTTTTTTTTTCCAAACACTCATCACTTGTTATGAGATCATCAAACTGTTAATATAGATTATTGATAGTCTTGTACGAGTCGTATTCATAATCCAGAAATATGATGCTAGATGTCTCTCAATCTATGATTGAACAGTGTGTGGCTGAATTTACCTTTCAACCCTACCCTAATATCTACATAAGGAGAGATTTTCTTTTGCAACTAAGTTTTAGACCTAGTGATGTCACAGTTTAATAAACACTAACTAGATGTGCTCAAAAAGTTTACTTTTCATCTGATATGGACAATTGTTACATGGTTAAATTGTGACATGAAAGGATGTCTCTTATATAGAACAACAAACTATATATGTGTGGGTTGATTTGCCCTCCCATATCCATACCCTAATACCTACTTTGGGCACAAATCCTCTGTATTTGTTCTATCTTGTAAATTGGGCAGGTTTTCCTTTTCCATATATCTACCATGATACCTACTTAGAGGGCATATTTTACTTGTCAATATCCCGTATAATAAATTGGATATCGATCGCTACTCTGTTCATCTTATTTGTGTAATTCCTTGAGTTTTCTAAAAGTAAAACTGGAAAATGAAGCGAGCTATTATTTGCACTTCGAAAGAGTCATATACCACTTCTCATAAAGCAGTTTTATCAGGTGACGTTTTGCGGTTACCCTAATAGAAAATGTGATTTTCATTTTGTAAATGTAAATGATTATTTATTATTTTATTTAGGAAGAATTATTTATTATTTACTCATGGATGTGGTTCACGCTGACTTACCAAAAGTCATATAGTTTTCTATATTATGTCAATGATTTTTTTAGTATATGTCAATTAGCAATAGGTTATCATCAGTTTCATAGTAACTGTGCATTAAGTGAGTAGAGATTCATAACTTCCAAAAAGATATTGAATCAATAATTTTACGGTACTAATGTTAATATTGCATTAAGAGCTCATTGGACAATACAACAATACGCCCAACATAAGTGCTATTTAATAGAAATAATGAGTAAATAACCCTATAAATACATGTCTTGTCCCTCCCGTCTTTGCACAAGAAAACCAAGCAAACATTAGGTAATCATCATCTAATTATCTTCTTGACTCTTTTATCATCCTCCAGATATGGTGATGAAGATCAAGAAACCTAGCCAAGGTCGCCAAAAGATTGCCATTGCCAAAATACCAAAGAGAAATAATTTACAAGTCACATTCTCAAAACGTCGTTCAGGGCTCTTCAAGAAGGCCAGTGAACTATGCACACTTTGTGGGGTTGAGATTGCAATCATAGTCTTCTCTCCTGCAAACAAGCCCTTCTCCTTTGGCCACCCAGAGGTTGATTCCATCGTCGACCGCTTCCTTGCTCGAAACCCTTACCCTAATTTCCAAGCAGGGTCCACAGGTTCTACTCAACAGCTTGTTGAGGTTCACAGGAATGCTAGTGTCCATGAGCTTAACATGCAGCTGACCCAGGTTGTGAACCAGTTGGAGGCTGAGAAAAAATGTGGAGAAGCACTTGATAAAATAAGCAAAGCTAGTGAAAAGCAGTGTTGGTGGGAAAGGCCTGTGGAGGAACTAGGGTTTCATGAGCTTCAGATATTGAAGGCTTCATTGGAGGAGCTCAAGAAAAATATGACTAAACAAGCCAATGGGATTTTGATGGAGTCTAGCGCTGCTGCTGTTGCTAATTGTTCTTCATCATCATCACCATTTTTCATGATGAACATTAATGGTGTTGTTCAAGGTGACGATCTTCGTTGTTTCGAAAGCAAAATTAAACCGACAAATCAACATGGATCTGCATATAGTTTCGGTTATGCTGGGCATGGTCTTTTCTGAATTTTTGATGTTGTTTAATTTCTTTTGAAGGGAGTTAAATGCAAGCTAGCTAGCACCTCGCTACAAATTATTATTATCATTATATTAATTACTTGTTCTTCTCTCTTTCAGTTTGGTTTGATTGTTTTTTATTTTATTTTAATTTATTATGAATAGAAAAGGATTCGAACTATTTACAATAATTTAGCGAATGAGGAATTTCGAACCCGGAATGCATGAGTGGAGCCCAACATGCAGTTATGGTTTGTAATTGTAAATGTTCAATATTATATTAATGGATTTTCTCTTATCATGGACATTGTTTATCTAAATATTGATTGTCGTTGAAGCCCTTAATTAATGAAAAAGAAACGAGTTTGTTACAGTTTAGTAAGCGCATGATCAATGTAACAATTCTTCAGCTGGGGATGGCGCAAATACTTCTTCTTCGACTAGTATTGGAGGGGAAAAGCTATGGAAAAAAATTATGGAATGCCTGTGCTCCCGGGAAGGTAAAATTTGTGCATGGCGTGCGTGTTTGGACTCTCTTCCCACAAGATCAAATCTCGCAAAGAGGAAAGTTGTTGTGGAAGATTCATGGGTTTTGTGGTTCACTTGGCAAGTCGACAGAACATGTACTAAGGGATTGTAGTATGGTGAAGGCGGTCTGGTTTGGTAGTCTGGGACTAAGGGTTGATGGTGGCAACATGCAGCACCTAATGCAATGGTTATTACAAATTGCTATGCAATTTCTATCCTCGGACTTTGAACTATGATTGGTGACTTTGTGGACACTGTGGAAGAATAGAAATGATGCTTTATGGAATGGTATTTTCTTGCCGCCGCAGGAGGTGGTATTTCGAGCTAAGGGTTGGCTGCATGAGTTCTAAAAATAGCATAAATCTGCTGTGAGGATGACAAATCATGTCTCACAAAAGTGGAGAAAACTTGATGTGGATTCAACAAGGACTACAGGGTGGTTTTGGTGTAGTTCTTTGGGAACATGATGAGTCAATTTCATATTATATATTTTACCCTATTTTTAGTATGATTTGGTAATTATTTTGGTAGAAGTTTGATACTTTGAATTATATTTTCAATGTAGGACATTCGATTTCCTTTGGAGTAAAATATGGTCAAACGAACGAATTTTGGAATGATTCTAATTGAAGGATGTTCGTGTGTCTTTCAACTTGTTCATATCAAAGTTTTAGAATTTTATACCAAGCGGTTTATTTATGGAAATGAAATAAAGGAGTAGCGTGCAGTGATGTTAAAGTGACGTTTTGGGTTTATTTGGGCTTTTTAGTGTCCAAGATGATGTCTTTTGGGTTCGAAGTCTTCTGCAATTATATTCAGGACATCTCAAGCTTTAATTTTAGTCATTTTGGGCCTATCTTAGAGCCCTGAAAGTCCAAAAACGTGAATGGTTTGTGGCTGGGTAGATTTCTCATA